TACAACTAGACAAAATGAGTCTGATAGTGGGCTTGATAAAGTTGGTGTTGGTAAGGAGAAGGTTTCAGAGATCCCACAACTCACTCAGGTAGCTACTGCTGCTGTACCTGGCCAAGGTACAACCCTCAAATGAAAGAGGTAGGGGCAGACTGCTAAGGAAAGGGGTAAAGCTCTGGGGAAGGTCAAAGAATAAGTTTGAAGTAATTAATTCTATCGACCGAAAGTTGCCTTCTGTGGATTCAGGTAGAAGCAGACAGTTTCTTCTCTTAGGTGTTGAGAAGTCATGCAAGATTTGAAAATGAAGAAAAATGAGCTTGTTGAAAAGGCTAAAAAAATGGAAGTAAGGGTGGTGCTTCTTCCTCTGCCCCTATGCCATGTTGATATGCTTCTGGAATGTAAGGGGCTTTAATACCCCTTAAGCAGAAGAAAGTTTTACGTTGGGCGATTGGTTGTCAGATTAGCATCTTGTGCCTCTTTGAGACAAGGTGAAAGAAATAAAGCTATGACTATTTTGAATCAAAGCTTTGGAGACTGGAATTCGTGTTGTAACTATAACCATGTGTTAATGGACGTATCTGGGTTCTTTGGCATAAAAGTTTGAATTGTGTAGTTTGTTCAGTCTTGATCAGTGTGTTTTGTTAAAAAAGATTATGGTGGTAAAGCTTTCTACATTTATGCTATATGGCTCGAATGATGGAGTTCACCGCAGATAACTCTGGAATCAACTTCTTTCTATGGATGTTGTAGGTTCTGATCCTTGGTTACTGGGGGTGACTTTAATGTCATCCTCATTCAGAGGAGCTCAATACCTGTTAGTTGAAGTTTGTTGGCTGATATTTCTGACTTTTAAAACTGTTTGAGCAGTTGGGTATCTTGATCATTCCTCTACTGGCCCCTTGTTCACTTGGTCCAACAAGAAACAAGGTAGTTTTCTAGCTCGAAATTGGTCCGTGTCCTCATTAACCATGTATGGTTGGGATTTTTGCTGACTCGGTGGTTGAGTTTTTGGCCCAGGCCCAGGTTTTATCTGAAAGCTAAAAGACTGAAGTGCTGCCTTAAAGAGCTTAATAAGTCTCATTTCAATGATATCTCAGGCAGGGTTAAGCAAAAATGGGAGGAACTGAAAAAAATCCAACTAGCTAACCTTGACTCCCGTACTGTTGGTAATGCATTAATGTTGAAGCGGAGTTGAAAAGGAGTTGAGAGCCTTCTATAAGCAAAATGCCAAGATTGATTGGATTCAACAAGGGGATCAAGGGACTCGATTCTTCCACTCCATGGTCATCAGCAAGAGGAAGAGCAATACCATTAGTGTGCTCTTTGATCAGCACGGGGGCAGATTGGACACTTTCAAGGATATGTCAAATGAGGTAGCCAACTTTTTAAAAATCAATTGGGGAAGATTGACCAAAATGTTAAGGGTTGCAACATTAATATCATCAGAGGATTGCTTGGTTACTCCTTACCTATGGGGGGCTGAAACCTTATGCAGTGTAGTGTTCTGACAAAGAAATTAAGGATGTTATTGGAAACAAGGTAATAACAAGTCCCCAGGTCCTGATGGATACAATCCTTATTTCTTTAAGAAGGCATGGCCAATTGTTGGAGAGGACTTCAAGGCTGCCATCAGTTTTGCTTTGATACTTCTTTTATTCTTTCAGCACTTAATGCAGCTATTACCCTAGTGCCTAAGGTGCCTAACCCAAACACTGTCAAGGATTTTAGGCCCTATCGTGTTGTTCTGAGATCTATAAGACAATTATAAAAATCTAGTTAATCAGTTGTTTCTGTCTTTCCTGGCATGATCACTAATAATCAGACTGCTTTTGTTAAGGGGAGAAGCATGGTTGACAACACTTTGCTTGCTTAAGAGATGGTTAGAGGTATGCTAGGAAAATAACTCCCTAGGTGTGCCCTGAAAATTGATTTACAGAAAGCATTTGATTCTTTGATTGGGAATTTGTTATAGTTATTCTCCATGCTATGGGGCTGCCTAATAATTCATTGGATGGATATGTGCTTGCTTCACTAATCCTTGCTATTCAGTTGTGTTAAATGGGAGTCTTGTTGGGTTTTTTAAGGGTACTAGAGGTGTTAGACAGGGTGGCACTCTCTCACCTTATCTCTTTGTCCTAGCAATGAATGTCCTATCCAACTTGCTGATATTGTTGCTTTGAAGGGGGTATTCAAATTTCATCCAAAATGTAGGAATATGCTTAACTCACCTTTTTTTACTGATGACCTACTCATATTTTGTAAGGGCACTTTTGATTATAATGGGGGTGCAGTCTGTGTTAGATGTCTTCTACTCATTCTCGGGGCTGAAGCTTAATGCTAGTAAGTGTGAAATGTTTCCAGCTGGAATAAATGCTGAGTAGTGTGTTTTTTTACATGATGTTATTGGCTTTAAATTGGGGACCCTCCCAGTAAGGTACCTATGAGTTCCTTTGGTGTCAAGAAAGATTGTAGTAAAGGATTGCCAAGGTATGATTGAAAAGATCAGAACTAAATTGCATTCTTGGGCTAATAGGCACTTAAGTTTTGCTGGCAGACTGCAACTTGCCCGTTCTGTTCTTTTCAGTATAGCTAGCTATTGGTGTAGGCAGATTATTCTCCCTCAGTCGATAATAAAGAAAATTGAGCAACTTTGCTCCCGGTTCTTCTGGAAAGGAGTTTATCTGTCAACTAGAGGTGCTTGAGTATGTTGGAGGCAAGTTTGCCTTATGAAAATCTGAGGGTGGTCTTGGTATTATTGATATTGGGGGCTGGAATAAGTCTTGTATAGGCCTTCTGATTAAGAAACTTTTGGCCAACGATGGCTCCCTTTGGGTGGCTTGGGCTCGATCATATATTATTAAAGATTCCGATTTTTGGCAGATGAGCATCCCTCTAAATGCTAATTGGTGTTTTAAGAGAATTTTGAAAATGAGGTCTGAGGTCTCATGTCTGTTTGTTGGTACAAATAACGGTCTCAACACGAGGAGGATTTGGGAGGAGATACGTTTCCAGGGTCCAAAGGTACCTTAGCATAAACTGGTTTGGTTTCCTGGGTGTATCCCAAAGAAAAGTACCATCTTGTGGATGGCCATCCTTGACAGGCTACCTACTTGGGCGAGACTCCTGCGAATGGGCCTAAATAATGATACTGATAAGTGCTTATTTTATGGTTTTGAATCTGAGACTCGGGGCCACATATTTTTTGGGTGCAATTTTGCTAAAGAATTGTGGGGGAATGTTATCTCTTTATGTGGTATTATGCGCAATGTTAGTACATGGGATAGGGAGTTAGACTGGGCTACTAAACTCCTCAGAGGCAGATCTCTCATTATGCAAGTTCTGAAGCTTGCCCTTGCTGGTCACATTTATGGCTTATGGTGCGAGAGAAATAGTAGATTATTCAGGGGTCGAGCTAGGTTGGTAGGTGACGTGCTCAATGACATCCGGGATACCATCCAGATCCGTCTAAACAATTGGTCCATTTGCAAGACTGATTCGAGGAATGTTGCCCTCTGTGCAAGTTAGGGTATTTTGAGCTAATGTACTTCTGCTTTGTTCTCCCTGCTGTTTTCATTATTGTTATTTTGATGTTTATGTAGCATGTTGTTCTTTGTAGCATGATTTTCTGCTTTCTTGGGTAATTCAATGGAATGATCCAAAAAAAAATAATAATGTATACGTATTCATCGTAAGGTGAAATTAATGGACTCAAAGTACATATTTTTATCAATCCGATGCACAAATTTCACAACGCAAGAATTCTTACATCTAATTCTTTTAAATCGAATAATAATTCTGCACTTTAATATCAAGAAAACCGTAAACTTTGACGTGTTGTTGGAGAAGAAAAGGTATTAATGAATATCCTACAAATAATCCTTAAATTTAGGTTTAATATTGATATACATTATGAAAAATCTTATTTGGAAAATAAAATACTTGAGTGTAAATGACATGAAAATAAAGATTGATGCATATTTTTTAATTGGTTAAGACCACCATAACGTTGTGGAAATGATTCATTGAATAATTTCTCGAGAAAGAGATACTCTTTCCATTGTAATTTTAATCTCGACTTTAACATTGAATTGATCAATATATTCATTATAAATGTTGTTTTATCGAAAATTTATTATTCTCTCCGTAAAATCTTGAATTCATCTAAAAATGTTCAATATCATTATTCTAAAAAAGAGATAAGTATTTTAAACAAAATAATAAAATAATTTTATAAATAAAATTCGTAAACTATTTTCTTGATCATCAGATAAATGAAGATTATTATTCCCATCGTTGACGAAGTAGTTTTTTTTTTTATCCCAGTCCATCTAATATAAATTTGTTCAAAGTTTGAAAGCATTTAAAAAAGAGACGGAAATGTTACTTTTAGTAGAAATTCTTAAAACTTTTATTGATAAAAATGATGATAAGTTCAAATTAGCTCTAATCTCATAACCATGCAAACTTATTGCATACTCAGGGTGTAAATAAATTGGACTTGTTAGTTTGTTTGTTTTGTAAGGTGTTCGTGTTTGTTTCATTTTAGTTTAAATTTTTAAATAACGTATTTGTTTTTTATTTTTTAAGGTATCCGTGTTCGATTCATTTAATGTTCACGAATATCTTCATTTAACCTTTGTTTAAAGTTTAGCAACCAACACTATTTTTTTTTAAATTTTTTTCATCTGTAAACCAAATAAAAATGATGAAATTACGTCACTAGTCCTTAAGATCTTTATGCTTCACAATTTGAACTCTAAAATTCACCATGTATTCAATTTAGTCTTGACCTTCACTGATGTTTAAAATAAAAAAAATAAAAGAAAAAAGGAGAATCGAGTAAACGAACCTATAAACAAGTTTGTTCGTGAACATAAACGAACTAAACATATATATATATTCGTGTTTGTTCGTTTATTAAATGAACATAAAAATGTTGTTTATATTCATTTAGGCTTAATAAAGGAACATTAACGAATGTTAAATAAACGGTTCACAATAGTTCATCGAACGTTTTGTTCATCTACATCCCTATGATTACTAGGCCATGGAATCTCATAATCCCATTTGTTATCAACCTCATCGTACGCATACAATCCGTATATCCCAACCGCCCAATTGCACCATTTATAGCACTCACGCGTCCTAACATGAAGGCCAGTATCATACAACAAGAAATGCCCCTTCCTTGTCGTACCTCCATCCTTGAACCCCATGTCGCATCCGATGTTTGCATGCTGGAAAGTAAACACGTCCATGAACGCCGTTTTGAATTCTTCATCGTACTCCAGGTTTCGTGTCCCCATATCTTCACTGTTCCACCAGCAATGGATCATCAACGTCTCACGGTTCTCGAGCTTGTTTACGACGTTTGCATGTCGTCGGCCGAGGCAAACCCCCGATGACGGTTCGAATCTAGCTAGCAATGCAAGAAGGAAGATCGCGACCAAGTTCAAAGAACTCATCACCTGGTGTTTTTCTAATAAAAATGATGGAATGAAGGAAGACTAAAAGAAGAAGGAAAAAAACTAACATTTAGCCATTTTTTGAACCCTAGATTTTACTAATTTCCTGCATCATATAGCAGGATTTTTTTCCAGGGTACATGGGTTTCAACATCCCCTTCATCCCATGTATTGCATGTACCATGCAGGGAACACGACAGCTTTCGTGACAAAATGGAGAAAAGAAACATAGATGTTTGTATATCATGTTTTCGATAAAAATAATGTTGTTTCAACGAAAGGTCACGAGAAGAACTAGACGTAACTGCAGTCTATGTTTAGATATTTAGAAAAGGGAAAATTTATGGGAAAAGGAAAACATATGATTCGAATTCCTGTATGCCATTATTTATAACTATAGCGCAACTTTCGGAACTTCATCACAGGTTCCATTTAATTTGCTCTAATTCTCAATATACCGAAAATCTTAAATCTTTCAAGACTTTATTTGAGGAGAATCGGATATGATCTAAATACCATTTGACCCGACTTAAAAAAATTATATTTTAATTTAATTGATGAATAAATAATGGACTATGACTTTGGGTACAGAGCTGAACCACATATTATGATATAATGTATTATTTTAGGGTTTTGAGTATGGTGCAATTATAAATATGCAGTTAGAATTTCTAGATTTTTACGAGTGCCCTTTGTATGATATTATGTCATTTTAGTTTTTCATTACGTATTTATTGTAATATCTCTTGTATTTTATTGTTAACAATTTTTTATATATTTTCAAAAAAGTTTGCCACATAAAATATATATTTATTCCTTTTCTTCTTATCATTTCACGATCGATTAGTCATTATTATCCATACCTCGGTCATCAATATATTCTTTCCTTTTTCTCCTCTCCACCCCCAAAATATAACTTCATGATCAATACTTACATTATAAAAATAAATAGTGATTGGCATAAACCAAATTATTTCAGAAGTTAAAGTGGCGACTGTTATTTTTAGAGGTTGTAAGATTAAGCAACAACGATAGTAGAATATTTGAGTACTTATTATTAAATAGTTATATCGCGACCGCCTTTCGGTTGGGCCCTGAAATTGAGCTTCGACTTGAATAATTGGGTTAGAGTCGCCACCGACCATTTTAAAAATATTTAGGTAGGTCGGACACCATCTTACCTGATCTGCGTTTTACTAGAGATGTGTCAGGTTCGAGAGTCGGTTACGGTCAAGGAAGGATTAGCACCCTTAAACCGCCCTTTCGGTACCAATTAATTTATCAGTTGCGAAAATTTGAATAATTTAAATTAAAATTTAAATACCCGATTCGAATTGCTTACCTTTGATTGGTTGGAATTCTTCTAAAAAAGTCGAAAATGTTAGAAACAAATATTAAATAAATAAAAACATACAAAAAAATGAATAATGGAAATTGAAAGAGTGGTGGTGTGAGTCGTAGACTCGCCCTGCTGCCTTTGTTTCTGCCTCCTCTTCCGTTCATAAAATGGTGAGCTTTAGTATTGTCAAAGTAGACAACACATCTACCCTTGAACTGGAACCAATTCCAATGAGAATCTTTGTATTCTATTGCACTTGCAAACTTGACAGAACATAAAATGCAACAAATAGATATGACCAAGCAAAATTATTGACCATTCAATAACGATTCAACTACTATTAGTCCCAACTCCCAGGGCAAGTTAGCCGCATTAATATTCCTATCACGTAGCCATTTTAAAACAATAACATCTCTTGAGATTTTCATGGTAGACTACTGCTAATCAGTTAATCGCAAAGAAAATCATATGGCATCGAAACAAAGGTTGAAACATCATAGCACTAAGAAAGAATAAAAAAATATATAGAAAACCATGCAAATGTCTAGCGATTTCCATAAAGAGCCTGCACCAAATCAGCTTGAGAAAGAGAGAGCGATTCTTCATATAAACCAAAAAATAAAGAAATATTATCTATGCCATAGTTGATAATGAATGCAAGAATTGACAATCAGAAACAACTAATCCATTTGAAGGAGTTTCAGATCATTGATACGAAAAAGAAAAAAGAAGGTATGCTGCAAAACGAATCTGTGAAAGAAGAAAGAAATTATAGCTTCCAAACATGAGAATTAGAAATGTAATACAGGAAAACAGTAATTTTCAAATAGAACATGCACCATATTGAGGATAAAAACAAAAACAAAAATTCACCCAAGGCATCGAAGATATCTGAGGCAGCCATAATCGAAGTCTTGCAAAGAGCACTTCTTGGGTTCTTCCTTGCCTTTACAATTACAAGCATCACATTCTCTAGGACCGGAAGAAGTAAACCGGAGTGATATATAGCGAAACGCCTAACAAAATTCAATGACCCGCAAACCATAACCAGATCCTTTGAATCTAACCATTCAACAAAGCTTTGGATGTTTGATTCTGGATCTTCAAAGGGTTCGAGATTCTCGGAAGCCATGTAATCGACAGAAGCATCAATCTGCAGCGGCAAAGGAGCCTTGTTCTTGTCATTTAGGCCAACCTCTGGAGCTCTTTTCTGGGTTTGAATAGACGCTTTGGCATGTTACTTGAGCATGGGAATGTCCGACAGTGGCAGTGCATTATCTATGGGTCGCAAAGCCATTTTGGTCCACCGCCAGCCGCCCTTCAAGTTTTCTTTTGTCCCTTTCCCCTCTTCCAATCCCTGATCACTTGAATTTATTTAGGATAAAATTTGTTGGGAGGTTGCATTGGCCAGAGATTCTAGCCAGATTTTCAGGGGTTTAGTGGAATGGTTGAGATACTTGGGGGTTAAACATGAGGCCATTTAGATCATGCCTCAGCTGATGTTGAGTTGACTCAGTAGTCCTTTCCTTCAGCATAAGTTGATCACTGGAATATTGCATGGAGGGCGGCAAAATAACCATAAATTATTATTAATAATAATAATAATAACATAATATATTTTTTGCCTGAAAAAAAAGGGTGTCTACAGGTGCCCCTCTTTGCACATTTTTGTGTTAACAAGAATAGGGCAAAGATGAAAAAAGACAATCAGTTTTTATACGGTCCTCTCAAATGTGATTGAGCTTCCTGGAATTGAGCCTTTGTCTTCTTCTCAGTTTAAATATTTCAGCTTGAAAATTCTTTCAGAAAGTAGTTCCTCGCTGTCATCGAGCTGAATGAAATCGAACTCGTCAGGTCTTTGGCTGGCATATAGCCCTTCTCGACTTAAGCTATGCTGCAAATGATGTGCCTCGGAGCTGAGCGTAGTCGAACTCGAAGGCCTTTGGTTGGCAAATAGCCCTTCTTGCCTTGAGCTATGTTGCAAATGATGTGCCTTGGAGCTGAGTGTAATCGAACTCGAAGGTTTTGTGTTTCAAGAGAAACATTTTCAAAGGTTTTTTTCAAGAGAAACTGTCTCAAGGGAGGTAAAATTATGTTTCAAGAGAAACAAATTCAAAGATTAGTGTTTCAAGGGAAACTGTCTCAAGAGAGACAAAATTTGTTTCAAGGGAAACTGTCTCAAGAGAGATAAAATTTGTTTCAAGAGAGACAAAACTTTGTTTTGACTAAATTAGTCTCAAGCGAGACGACCCCTTGTTTCGAGAGAAATAATCTCAAAGGCGATCGATAATCTACTTGTTCCTGAAGATGAATGTTGCTGGTGAGCATGATTCCCTTCGTCGTGAAGTTGAAATCCAATGTAAGCTGTGATGTTTTGAGGCCAATATCCTTCGCTGTGAAGTTGAAATTGACTCTGAAACTGGAGAATTTATTGACAGATACTCCTTCTTTGAGTTGGATATCCTTCGTCGTGAAGTTGAAATCCAATCTAAAGATGGATGCTGCTCGTGTGCACGATTCTCTTCGTCGTGAAGTTGAAACCGCAGGTGGCCCCTTCGTCGTGAAGTTAAGCCTGAGAATTGGATATCATTCGTCGTGAAGTTGAAATCCAAGTATTGTTCCGAGTCCAATATCCTCCCCGTGAAGTTGAAATTGGTTTTGGAACTGGGAAATTGTTTGTTGACAACCAGCCGTCCCTTTATTGTGAAGTTGAACTTGTGTTGTCTCGAGTCCAATATCCTTTGATGTGAAGTTGAAATTGGATCTGAAATTGGGGAATTGTTTGTTGACAGTCAGCCGCCCCTTCATAGTGAAGTTGAGCTTGTGCTGTCTTGATTCCAATATCCTTCGTTGTGAAGTTGAAATTGACTCTGAAAGTTGTTTGTTGACAATCAGTAGCCCCTTCGTCGTGAAGTTGAGCTTTGTGTTGTCTTGGGTCCAATATCCTTAGTTATGAAGTTGAAATTGGCTCTGAAATTGGGAAGTTGACAGTCAGCCGCCCCTTCGCTGTGAAGTTGAGCTTGTGCTGTCTTGAGTCCAATATCCTTCACTGTGAAGTTGAAATTGGCTCTGAAATTGGGAAGTTAACAGTCAGCCGCCCCTTCGCTATGAAGTTGAGCTTGTGCTATCTTGAGTCCAATATCCTTCGATGTGAAGTTGAAATTGGCTCTGAAATTGGGAAGTTGAAAGTCAGTCGCCCCTTCACTGTGAAGTTGAGCTTGTGCTGTCTTGAGTCCAATATCCTTCGATGTGAAGTTAAAATTGGCTCTGAAATTGGGAAGTTGACAGTCAATCGCCCCTTCGCTGTGAAGTTGAGCTTGTGCTATCTTGAGTCCAATATCCTTCGCTGTGAAGTTGAAATTGGCTATGAAATTGGAAAGCCCCTTCGTCGTGAAGTTGAGCCCCAAATGGCACGATATCCTCCGTCGTGGAGTTGAAATCGTGGATGTGTGGGTACGATATCCTCCGTCATGGAGTTGAAATCGCGGATTGCCCCTTCGTCGTGAAGTTGAGCCTTGACTTGAATATCCTTCGCCGTGAAGTTGAAATCCAAGTATTGTATGTTGCGGGTGGACACGATTCCCTTCCTCGTGAAGTTGAAACCGTGGATGACCCCTTTATTGTGAAGTTTGGCTTCGAGTTAGATATCCTCCGTCGTGAA